AGCAACTGTCAGAATTTTTATTGCTTGACATATGGAATAACATTTTATTTGGCAGAAGGACAAAATAAAGCACTAGAACTTTGAAAAATCATAGATTCATGCTACTATCAATGATCCAAACATTGCAAGGAAGTTAATTTCCATCACCTCTCTGCTCAACTTAAGCCAATAGAAAAGATGGATGGGATGTGGAGAACAGCAAAAAATTAAAATGAAGTGACGGCTTCATCAAAGTTGCTATTCCAGGAGAGGTCTTGTCACTGTGGTACCATTTTTTACCATGTATAATGCACACCCGTGTTTTTGGCCCAAACTTTCAGGAAAAAATATTTTGTTTTAATTTTTTAACTCAAATATTTATTTATTTATATTTAAAAACCAAACCAATTATCATGTTCCAGATTTTGCATACAGATATCATTATGCTTTCTGGAGTTACGCTTTTAATGCATAAGTATACATAAAAGAATGAAAAATATGACTATAGGTGTGGAATTAGTACTACCCATGTATAATAGGTATCCTTATTTTTCCCTCAGAAATTTGGGCAAAAACATATATATTATACATGACAAAATACAATATATTAGTACAAATTTTGGTACTTGCATCCATCCATCTGGAAAATGCAATTTTCTTAATGTTCTTCAAGAGAAAACTCAAGAAGCAATTTGCATGTACTTGACAAAAATAACAGAGCTCTCTTACTGTCTTACATGTCACCTCCTGCTCTGTGACATAAGTCATAGAGACAATGGGCATTTCAACATCCCAGAAGACACTAAATTCTTCAGTACCATAGTATTTTGCTGATTTGATATTGAAGAGCAGGAACAGTAGACAAACTAGATGGGTCCATAACATACATGCATTCCAGAGGGTAGAAGAATCCCATGAGAATCCAGGATGGGGCTTTTGTCAACTAAATGGAGTTTCTGGGCCAGAAACTCCATTTGAGTGGTTGAGTAGGAGCTATGTAGGAACACTGCCTTCTTTGTAAAGGACATCATGAAGATCTTCCTCACTTGCTGTTGTTGTTTGAGGGAGGCTGAATCTCCATCTTGGGATACCATGACCATGAAACTGGAGCTGTTGTTTATCATGAACTAAATGCTAAATAATTAATTTGCCCATATTTTTAGTTGTGTCCAGCAATACATTGTCGTCGAGTAGAAGGGATGAATGTAGATTAGTTGTTAGGTCTGAAGATCCAGGTAAATTCAGTAAGTGCATTATGCCCTCTCTGTTATACTTACTTTTTCACAGTGCTCTTTTTCTATCTTAGCCTGTTTACTTAGCTCATATCAAGTCCCATATTACTAATTGACTATGGGTAGGAAAAAAAGTCAAGCTTCTTTTCCTATATTATTCGACATGATGCACTAACATTTATTACTATAGCACTGAGTTCAGTTAGGCATATCTCTTTGAGATGGTAGAATTCCCTGGCCAGGTAGCTCAGTTGGTTAGAGCATCGTCCAAATACACCAAGGTTGTGGGTTCAATCCCTGGTGAGGGTATATACAAGAATCAACCAATGAGTGCATAAATAAGTGGAACAACAGAGCAATGTCTCTCTCACTTGCTCTCCAGTGTTTCTTTCTCTCTCTCTGTTCCTCCCTCCTTCCGGTCCTCTCTTCCTTCCTCTGTCTCTAAAATCAAGAAATAAATCATGCTTTTTTTTTAAAAAAAAAAGAGATGGTATAGAACACTCCCAATGAGAAAAACATTAAGCTAGACATTTCCTTATCTCTGATCTAGAGATGAAAAATTGTCCAGATAGTCAGGGGAATTAGAAAATGGTGACAAGGGAATTTAATTTTACACTGGAAAATAATTTAATATATTTAAAACTGAAAGATATTTATACTTGTTTATTTTAAATCCAGAGGAGTTGAACTTTATTGTGAACTTCTCTCTCTTTTTTGTTTTTTCCCTAAGTTCCAGGCAGCAAAATAACTCATCAAAAAAGATCATTTATTTCCACATAATTACACCTATATTCCCTCCATCTTATCCTAGTTCATTCTGTTGATTTAATCCTAGCATTATATTTGCATCTCAAAAACATGAATTTCTTGAGAAATACACAATTATTTTATTGTATAGTCAGAGATGGATAACTCTAAATTAATTGCAGCTGAGATCATTAAGAAAATTTTTTATCACTTTACCATACTTTTTTAATCTGTCAGAGGTATCAGCAATAAACACAAATTTCTAGATTCCTCTGAATTCAATTTTGACAAGGTGTTCTCAGAACAAACATGCTATTGATTTTTGAAGGGAAAAACTAATCTTTATGTCTTTAATTTAATTCCTGGTTGGTACAGCATCCTGAGGTACTGTTATCTGACAGGTCAGAGAACAAGGTATTCTCAACCGGCAAAAGCACTACAGGCATTCTATCTCACTAGGATGTTCTTTCAGCCAAACAAGGGCCGGATTCTACATTTAGATGGTGAATGTCCAGTTCCTTCCTTGGAGCATAATGTGGCATTCTACTAGGTAACAGAACTATTTTTTTCCCCTTTCCCCTTCATGTGCTTCAAACCTGATCTAACTACCCAGGGCTCTTTGAAGTCAAAGGAAGCTCTGAACCCAGAGAAACTCTGATGTCTGGGGCAGAGTCTCTCGAGATAAACAAGACAAGCAGAAAGGAACGTTAGGAGAAAAAGGGAGCGGTATCTTGCAGCATGTCGACACCTTAGTGGTTGAGAGGATCTTGCACAAATATCAAGTTATGACTGGTAGAAAAAGAACAGAGTAAATACACGATATGAAGGCATTCATACATTTGAACTCTCTGTAGACCAGGAAGTGGAAGTTCACATAGCAGTGTAACAACTGTTCTGTCTTGATGGGAGATGCCAACTCTGAGTCAGGTAATTAAGAGTCATAAGGCATAAAACCTAACATTGGACTTCTCATTTGTTTTCTCATCCTGACAGGATATCAGAAAGATTAGTTTTGTTTAGATTTTTGCCTTTAATGATCCTCAGCCCCAAGAATATTAACATTTGTAATGCTAGTGAATTGATCATATTATGATATACAAAATAGTTTAAATGTATTAAAATTAAATTGCTGCACACTAACTTAAATGCTTCTGCTCCATTACTGCTTAATTCTGTGGTATCAATACAATGTTTCCATGCAAAGGAAGAAAATTCAAAAGCTAAGATTAATACTTATAGCTAACAAACACAGGCTATATATTTTTTATTGATCTATTGATGCCTGGAAAGAAAAAAATCATAGAATATAATTTTTCTTATTTAGGGTGCTTTATCAAGCTAGAATAGAATATAACAGTCATGAATTTATAACTAAAATGTTAAATATCTTAGCTATCTCACATTTGTATTAAATACAAATTTTTCTTTCAAATATTAAAGAAGGCTTAAATCATTCTTAACACAGACATACTTCACATATACTAAGCATAATTTACTCACTGAAATGTGTTTACACAGCTGTAAACTCCCTAAATTAACCAGCAATCAAAAAACTAAAATTATTCCTATTAGAACAAGAACATGAGATTTAACCTTCTAAAAGAAAATAACTAAGGGCTTCCTGTGATGTGAATTCAGATGGGATCAAGTCTGTTGTTGATTTTTTTAAAAATTCTGTTTTAACATCTCCCTACACACAACATTTCATGAATTCAGAGAAGGTATTGACCAGCTCATCTATTTTCACCACTACGGTCCCTAAATTTCAAAATGCCAAGGAGAAAAATAATTACACACACAGAGATTTAATATTGTAACCTGAGGTTACTTCTACTCTGTTCAAAAGCCTTATTTTTTTCTATGGGAAATACTCAATGTAAAGCTACCTACCTGGGCTTTGGTGGATCTATTATTGATCTTGTGCAGATCACTTAGCCTGCATCTAACCAGTGGAGGAACCACGACGAATGCAGTGGGTCCCAAACTTTGCTGAACAACAGAGTCACCTGAGGAGCTTTTCAGACATCCCAGGTTGCTCCCTAGCCACGGATCAGTAGATTTGAAAACACTCAGGTGAGTCCAGTGTGTAGCAAATTTTGGAGCCACTAAATTTTAATTAGTACTTTCACAGAGCTGCTTTTAAGATTTAAAAATGAAGGGGCTTTTATATTACATAGTGCTTTACAAAGTAATATAAAATATTATCCATAAACTAAGTACACTGCTATAAAAAATGCAATGTTTTAGGAAGTTTAATCTTCTGTTTGGATGTCAGTTCAGTAACTGTAAAGAAAGTATACATAAATAATCAGTTTTAGTCTGTTTGCCAGAGCTGCAGAAAGTTTAACAGTTGTGTTTTACTTTTATTTTAAGCTGACTTCAACATTATTTTAACCTTATTTTTTATTACCTTTTCACCTTCTCTATTAAAAATTATGAAAAGTATTGTCTATCTATTTTTCTTAAAAATATATCAAACACCATACTTTTATTATGTTTTTACAATAAACAGAAATAAATATTAGAACTAATGTGCAGAAAAGAAACCTGAACTCTCTTAAAGAAAATAATTTTTCCCATGTCACATTATTCAACACTACTGCCTACTGAAACAAACAAAAAATTACACACTCCAGACATTTTGTTCCAATATTCTGCCATAATGATCTACTTGGAAACAAATACCTATTCAGTAAATCTCTCTTGGCTAGATTTTTTTCATTACCTGATGACATATATTATTTTCTCTGCTAAATTTTTAATCAGTACATCAGAATCAGCCAGTTTATACACAGCAACTGTTTTGTATTAATACCATCAATTCCTATAAGCTTTTATGTAATCCGACTTACCAAAAAGATTATGTAATTTATATAATTAGAGGATAAATAACGTGTTACCTAATTAAAAAGCACCCTCATTGTTGTTAATAGAGACAGTAATACATTCATCCTCAATAAAATCCTGAAGTTAAATTCAGTTCATAAGCAGCCACGAGTGTAATCCACCTCCCAGCAGTTACTCTGCCCACAGATCTTTTACCTTGGTGGGCTTATTAGCATCCATGCTCTCTTTGAATTTCTCCTGAACAGTTTCTGCAAGTTGACAGAGCAAGGCACCATTGTCCAGTTTCTCCATAAACGTTTCTGCTGTAATCTCCTTCCCTGAAATAACAAAAAGAAGCATTAGAAAAGCATAACCATTCCCCAACACAAATGTGACATTCATGTTAACACAGTCGACATAGTTTTTACCATGAAAACTTCTACTCCAGATGAGTTGCATGTCTGGGACAGGAACTTGCCAGAAAGAATTGTTTCTTTGGAATTTTATGCTTTCCGTGGGTAGCAAGAATCTCAACATTATATATTTAATAATGAAGTTTCAACTGCATCAATGTTCTATTTCACATTAAAAGTGACAAAGGGATCTGGGTGAAAGAGTCCCACCATGCAGTAATCGAGCAGTCAGTGAAACTCAAAGAACCAGCTTCACCCATGATTGCACAATTCAGTGTCTGAGGTTTGTTCAGTTCTCATCCTCAGGGACCCATTCGACTACTTCAGCCTGCAAGCCAAGAGCATGAAGCAGAACTGGTACTGTGTGTATGTCTGTGTCTTTGGTAAGAAGAACACCATCCCTCTGTTCCTTAATTTGAAATAGAGCCACAGTATATGAAAAATCAACCATCACCAGTGAGTTTAATAGCATGGCCAGTGCTTACAGCCACATGTCCAAATTCCATTGAATGTGTTTTCCTGATTAAGATAATAGAGGTAAACTCAATGCCATTGATAAATGCTCTGTAAGAGAACACTCCCTCTCTAGCCATCCCCTTCCTGCTGTGGTCCTTGAACTGTGGAATAATCAGATTCAGACCTCTGCTTTTTTCTCTCCCCTCACAACCACTCACAGCTTCCTCTGCTGCTCTTATGAACAAGATCCACAATTGTTCATCCCTGACATTTAACTGCTTAAGCGTTATTTTTCTTCTTTCTCATGTGCTCCCACAGCATATTTTCTTTCTTCTTTTTCTATTTTATAACAGCTTTATTGTGATATAATTCACATACCTTACAATTCATTCATTCAAAGTGAAAAATTCAATGGCTTTTAGTACATTGTAGCCCCAGAGTTGTGCATTCAACACCACAACCAACTTTTGAACAATTTTATAACACCCTAAGAAACCCTGTACCTTTTAACTGTCACTCCTGATGGCCCCATTCCACCAGCCCCTATAAAACCACTACTTACATGCTCCCCCAAACTCAGCCCCCCCAAAGCTCTCTTCTGCTCTTGGTTCTGTAATTCTCTAAGTTTCACAGTATTTTCTTTTCCTGTCGTACTTTCCTGTAACTTATTAGTGACAAATCCTGTAGATTTATGCTTCTACTGTTTTTTTTTTTAAGATTTTACTTATTTATTTTTAGGCAGAGGGGGAGGGAGGGAGAAAGAGAGGGAGAGAAACATCAATGTATGGTTGCCTCTCATGCCCCCTCCCCTGGGGACCTGGCCTGCAACCCAGGCATGTGCCCTGACTGGGAATCAAACCTGCGACCCTTTGGTTCGCAGGCTGGCACGCAATCCACTAAGCCACACCAGCCAGGGTATGTGTCTTATACCATAATCTTAATAAAAAAAATTTCCTGATCTGATACCTAAACCTCTAGCAAAAAGACCCATGGCTATTTCTGGAATCTTCAACTTTTTTGTCCAGTAAGTATAACACTCATTGCTAAAACTATTATTGCTAAACACCACCCCCACTAGGTCATTCTTCACCTTTAGGAATAGTCCCTAATCTTCTTTTATACTTAAAAGATGACTTGTATCTACTTCAACCCAATACCCAAATGTCTTTCTAAATCCGCTAATCTAACTTTCTGCTCTAACGTCCTCACACCCTGCTTCTTGGTCTGCACCCTGCCTTCAAGGGTCGTTAGCAGACCTTCCAGCTCCTACCAGTCAGGCCTTTGTTCCGGGCATAGCGCCTGCCTACAGTGTCTTACCTTCTATCTGTCTGGCCAAGTGTTTTTTTGTGAAAAGTGGTTAAGGAAAAATAAAATGAAGTATTTTTAAGTTTTATATTTAGACTCTCATCAGATTAACTTTTATCTTAAATGCATGAGCTCAAATCCCTGAACAGTCAAACATAACCCAAAAGGAACAATAGACAAACCACTGGCTTAAAGGGAAACACACAATACCTAATACATTTGGGTTTCAAGAAACATCCATTTGAAAAAAAAATTTTTTTCTGTTTTGGGGGAAGGGTAGGCAAAAACAGAAAAGAGAATTACTCTTTTTTTAATGTTCTTTTTTTCCTTACTGGATAGTTCACATTTCAGCCCCCAGTTAGGATAATGACTTCTGCAGGTGGCAAACATCAGTAGCTCTCAGCTCTAAGCACAGACACAGCCTATTCAGAACTATTATTTCAACACTGTAGGCAGCTCAACTAAGTTCAGGAATGAAGGTCATAGTCTCAAGATGCAAAGAGCCAGCACAACCGAATTTGTATCACTCATTCACCATATTGGTGCGTGCTTTCTAACATATGAAAGTTATTTTGCAGACAAGAATGAAGAATAAATATTAGGAATATTTTCAAAATTAACAATTAAATCTCAAGTTCAAAAGATAAACATTTAAAAATTGTTGAATGTATATATATATATATACACACACACATATATAAAAATGTATATATATATTAGTTTTAAGATTTTCCCTATTTACATAAGGTCTTCAGGTATTCTTATTTCATTAAGCTCCATGGCAATTTACGATTTGACTCATAATGTTAAGTGACAAGATAATTATAATATTTACAAGAATTTATAAATTATAAGAAGAAAATGTCTTTCATTTGAAAGTTGTTATCAATTTCCCAAAAGGTATAATTTTCACTTTTATGCATTGTATCTGAAATTTTTTAGTTGTCCTGATTTTCATGAACCCTTGAAGAAAGAATTTACATTGAACATCTGTATCTAATGAAAAATATATTAGGTGTCAGCTTTCAATTCTGTATATTTTATAGCTCCAAAAGGTGATTTTTTTTTTTTTTGGCTAAAACAGGCACCGTTACATACTTTATAGTTGAAGTGTGCTGCCTTAAATGAAGGAAAAATGCAAGACGGAGAAGTATTTTTAAAAACTTTCACATGTAATGTATTTTCCATCCGAAGATTAAGAATCATAAAATACACATTTTAAATGTACTATATAATTGTAAGAAATCAGGTACAATCCTTGTACGGCATAATATATTATCTCATTCTTATTGCATTAATATTACCAAAAGTATAAAAAAAACAGAACATAAAGTTAGCTGAATTGAACTATGACATATCCATTAGAAGAGGCTGTGAGGAACTAATGACAATTTCTCAGGTAAGTATTATACAAAGTTAAACATCTTTGTTAGGCAGAGGCAGGTACTCATCTTGTGTAGCTGGTTTGAGGCAGTAGCTTGTAAATACTAGAAGCAGTAGGATTCTTGTAACATAGAATCATTTCTTCCGCAGCCCCGTCCGTGGTATGTTTGGGGAAAGACAGGGCAATAGACAGATAATTTAAATCTTCTTAAGTACTGCCCACACTGGGTTGTGCAGACTATTGACCTGAAGGTTAACCTAAAATAGCCTCATCTAGGGGTATTGTCTTCACTTCCTGAGTTTGTAATTGTAGGCTTTGAACTTCACACCATCAGTTCAGCCATGACTGACAACCTGACAGTAGACACAGATTTTGGTTAAAAATTGTGGTTAGTCAATTCCTATTGAAATATTAGGGCACAAAGGTATGAAATAAGCATCTGTCAGGTAACTAAAAATCAACACACATGCTTGTACACATCAGTGGATTCCTCCCAGAAATACATGCTCGCCATAATTTCCATTAAGATTAAGTATCAACCTACAGTGTTTTACAATAGAGCCAGCATCAGAAAAAAGAAGCCCTTTAATCTTACACTTTGCTGAGGAAGAATGTTTTCCTGCCAGTAAGTTTGTAGTACTAAACTCAGATTCCTAAAGACATGATAGCATTTAATGCTATTTAAGATTTGAGTTCTTACTGCATGCCAGACACTTTACATGTATTCCTGTTTTTAATATTCTCACAAAACTATGAGGTTGGGTGCTCCCACTCTACCCATTTTATAGTTGATGAAACTGAGACCCTAAGATTAAGTAACTTGCCTACGGTCACACAGTGAATCTGGCTCTTTAAACCATGACAGCGAGGTTTAGAGTTTATGCTCTTAGTTACCCTGTTTGACTTCTTAAATAAGTATCTGCTGAATATATAAATGACTATTTCCCATTACAGTGCACTCTCCCTAATTCAGTTGTCTTTTTCTCTGTAGAAACTCCAAAGAAAGGCCTTCAGGCAAAAAGAAACAAACAAACAAACAAAAAAACAAAAACAGCATAGAGGTAAAGATAATGATAGCAGTGTTGAAAAATGACTAGCAGTTCACCTTGGAAATTGGAGAATGCCTGAGAATGTCATTCGGGCACGTTCTGATCGGTGACCTGATTCACTGCAGAAGAAAACTGGCATATTTTATCTCCACAGCTGAACCAGATAGGATCAATCTCTATCTGAAACTCCACTGCACCTCTTAGTCTCAGTATGCTTCTCTAATTAGAGAATTCATCTGCTATCTTGACTTGAATTACTCGAGTGTTTTGAGACTGAAATTTGAAGGTCGTGAGGTAGAAAATGATTCATTCTATCCAGAAACCTTAGATCATCGTCTGTACCACAGTAATTCCCACTCTCTACCCTGTGTTTATATCAAGACAAGACAAAGCTGGTTCTGTTGGGAAAGGCAGGTAAAAAAAAATGGGCAGTAACTTTTCTGAAAGATGCCAGTTTGTGAACATGAACTTGATTCTTTAAACTTTTGAAGTAGTGAAAGATACCACCTTTTCTAAGGAATTTTTACTGACTATCAAGAACGTAAGAGCTCAGCAGAATATGAATCTGGTAAAAGGGCTTTAAGAAAAAAGAAAAGAAAGCTGTTCAAAACTTGGTAGCACCAATTCTAGTAAGTACACGGTTAACTTTTTAATGCTGAAAATAGGTTATTTTTATAAATAACAGATAAAAGAAAATTACTTATTGGTCATATTAAGCATATAACAACTGAATTTTTTAGTGGAAAGCCAGAGAAAGGAAAAGTCACCATAGCATCAATTTTCATGATGCATTTCTAAATAGAAGCAAAATCAATTAAGCAAAACTTGATTTGTAATATATCTTATGATTTACTCAAAGTCCCTACAGGTATTCAAACACATATGCCTGTAACTAAAGATCTGCAATCTGTAAGAATAATGTCAATTTCTTTGCTACTTAAATATAATTGTTCAAAAACATATTCCCATATGATTTCATATAGTGTTGTTAAACAAATACTAATTAAAGATAAAGGTAAATCATCATTTTCAAATGATTAATGCACACAAGTGAAATAAGCAATTTGAGAACATTTCAAAGCTAAGCCAATAACAATTTTCAGTAGTCCATCAATAATCATTAAATTTGTAGAATGTGCCTAATCTATTTGAATGGTGGGTTTTTGCTATAATCTGGGAGTGTTAATTTAAAAATATGTTGTTTAGGGAGGAAAGTGGTGGGAGGGGAATGAAGACAACTGTACTTGCATGACATAAAAAAAAGCGTAAATAAAAAATGTTGTTTACTCAAAGTGATAATTAAGTTTTCCCCAAGATTTGTTTGTATAATATTTGATGTTGGAACATGTCCAAAGGACACAGATCAATTACAAATGGGAAACAGCTAGATCATGAACAAAAATAACAAAACAGAAGGTCAAAAATAAAAATGGAATGTGTATATTTAATGTACATAGGGGACAATGGCCAAATATCTGCTTGATAGGGAAGAATGGAGGGAAATTCAGGATTCTTTTACTGCCCTTTTCTTAATGTTGGTCATAAAACTCCTGCCTGGTGCCAGCTGTTGAAAAACATAATACGTGTACTACAAAAGTATATTCGATTAGATCAGCTGGTATTTGCAAAGATATGTGAGTAGTCAGTAAATGTTACATGATGTCCTATGAATGACATCATTGGTGTGCTATCTCACAAAGAAATCCCAACAACCATAACTACTTACTCATCTTAGCTAACTTCTCACAGCATAGCTATCATTTTACACTTCTACACATAAATTTTAGATAGTCTGAAAATTTTCTATTGCTGCTCTAATTCTATGCATTAAAATCTAAAGTGGTATGTATTAGTGTTACTGATTAAGTTTTATATACCTGGAAATTACATTATACCTCCATATGTGACATGAATGCAAATATTGACTATGAACCAATGAAACAATTTTCTTCTCCATCTATTAATTTTTATCCACCCAAAACTTCTAAATCCAAACTGAATGTTATTTAAGTAACTACATATTTCAATTTATTTTATATGAAAGAGCAGAAATATCTGAATTTAGACTATCATAACACTTCTTTGGAAAGACATAAAAAGAAAAATGTTACATTTTAATCAAATATTACTAAAAAGAAGTAGTAAACCTTTCCACAAGTAAGGTCCACATCATAGTGGTAAAAACTAATTAACAGATTTAATGTAGAATGTGAATTTTAACCTCACCAAAAAAATCAGATACTTTATACAAAGACAGCATCCACTTTGGAACTACTTTCATGGTATCTCTAACTTTCAAGTAGATACAAAGCAAGAACTGAAAGAGAGCTACATCATACAAATTTGAAAATATTTCTGAGGTGATAAAATGGCCAGCAATAAATAGTTTTAAAGTGCACTTTACTGACTTCATTTCTAAAATATATGGATTCTAAATGTACCTAATATATGTAACAAAAATATCTTCCAACACAGCCATTCACTCCATCTCCCCTCTACATCACCATTCCAGTACATAACACACTTTCTCATCTCCAAATGTTTTGCCACTTTTAAATAATGTCAAGTTACTGTTCTACTCTTTAAGTTACCATAAGGATATTCACTTGAAGTCTATTATCTATATCTACTTTTATGAATTTAAGTCAACACAAGGTGGTATTTTACAATATCTTGAAATTCTTTTGAGATTCCTATTCTGAGAAAATCTCACAAGCCATCAGTTGCATTTGTGTTACCAACTGCTAGCATTAAAAAAAAATTAGTCTATTCTTTAAAAAAATTATTCATTTATGCAAATTATTTTCTCCTTGTTTATGCATATTGATGATCTCAAACTGGGTTTGAAGAGATGGATTTCTTGGAAACTGAGACTTTTGGAACTGGAAAGGACATTAGAGATCATCCACTCCAACCCCTTCGTTTTATGGTTGAGGACACGGAGCCCAGAAAAGATAGCTGACTGGCTTTGGGCAAGCTTCCTACTGGGAGGCAGAGCCAGAACCAGAAGCCAGGTCTCCTGACGTCCTGTTAGGAGCCAGGTCTCCTGATTCTTATTCCAAGGATCTTTCCATTACACACACAGTGACTCTCTATTCTTTGAGGTTGTCTTGGGCTGCTCACACTGATCAAGCTGCTTTGTAAGTGATCACATTCACCAAATAAAATGCCTTTGATGACAAGTCATGGGACCTTGGAACGTCCCTGTATAATCAGGCTATACTCTGATTAATCACCATCTCCTCTGTCTAGAACCTCACAGTTCCTCACTGGTCATACTATGAATTATAAAGTTCCTTAACATGGTCTTTTAAGCAGTGTACAATCTAGCACCTGCAAGTGTCATTAATCTCTTCTCTTGATCTGCACATTTGACACTAGCCTTCATTCAGTTCTTCCCAGGTACCAAACTCCTTTCTGTCTCAGCACATGCCATTCCCTGACCCAGGCTCCTCTCCCATGCTCCATCTGGCTAGAGATTCATCATACTTCAGTCCTCCATTGAAACACATATAAGCCTCTCAAGTCCTGCAATCCTTTGTCCCACGACCACCTCCTTGTTTTTACACTCTTATTTCAACCTGTATCTTTAAGTGTTTATAACAAGCCCAATTAATGAATTATGTATTCAATACCTTGTTTAATGTTTCATTATCAACATCTCTAAGAACAGGCATTATGTCTGTATTTAATCACCACTTACCCACCAGTACTTAACCTGTGCCTGGAACACAAAAATACAATAGTTCGTATTCATGACAGCTAGTTGATGACTGTGTAACAAACCTTATTCTAAATGTGATCACTCATTCAAATTCCCAACAATCCTTTGAGGGTGGTACTAGCATTTTACTTATCTTGTAGATGAAAAAGTCGAGGTACAGTGCATTTAGACACCTCCGTATCACAGAGCGAGTAAGAGAGATAATTGAGATTTGAATCCAAGCATCCTAATTCCAGTGTCCATATTTTTAAACTAATACTTTATGCTTCTGCACACTCAAATATTTGTTCAATAAATAAACTTATCCACAAAGTCAAATTAAGAGGAGCACTGAACTATATAATTAAAATAGCAATAACATATATAGTGCTTACAAAATGTCAGGGCACTTGCTAAGCAGTCCACGTAATCCCACTGCAACCCTACAAAGTAGGCTCTGCTGTTACTGCCACCTCACAGATGAGGAAACTGAGGCCCAGAGAGGTTAAGTAATTTGCCCAATTATCATGTTGCTAGTAAGTCACAGTTCCAGGGTTCAAACACAGGCGGTCTACATCAAGTCTGTTCTCTTATCGTCTGTTCTATACTGCATACTTGTGATAGCCCATATCTAAAGACAGCTCAAAGTTAATAATAAATTATTAGTGAAACAATCATCAGTGACCCTCAGAAGGACAAAAATAAAGAGGAAATCCACTTGCTTATGTTAAGTTGACTCCCTCTATGTGATGGAGATAAAAGTTCCTCCTTTGCACGGGTGAATTGCAAAAGGGGGTAGCCTCTTCCTTCCTGTGAACACAGCCCCACAGCATGGGGAAGGGTCCCCTGGACTGTCTCTGCAGCTCTGCCCTCACCCTCTGGCTGGGCGCCCTTGTGGAAGGTATAACATGCAGCATACTCTCACACTGTAGCCCTAGTTAGACTGCATAGAATGGTCCAAATACTGCGCACATGGTGGGAAAAGAAAGCATCCTAACTCTAACATAAAGGCAAAGAACAAAAAAGCAAAAACCCATGAAAAATGCAGAGCCTTGGTGAGCAAAAGGAAAATCTTGCTAAAACATGCTAAAGTCTTTCCAAACCTTGCTGAGAGTTCAGGTGGACAGGATGCTTCTCACTAAGTTCTTTAGATTCCTCAGGTATAAAGTGGGAATAAAAACACTGACCTTGAATGATTCTTTAAGTAATAAAATAATGTTGGCAAAGTTCCTTTTGCAAATGATAAAGGACCATATAAATTATATGTTTACTCGATATTCAAACCTACTATCTTATATATCAATAAGGGTCCTTCTCTCAGATCATAAATCAAGTGTATTCTTGGTAAAAAAAAACTATTGGTGAAAATAGTGTTTCTATATATAATGATCCTTTAAATGCACATGGTTAAAATTTTATCCTATGACTATGCCCACACAATAGAAATTTAAAAAGAGACAGCTTTAGTGTAAGGTAGCATTTTTCTCAGAGATGGTACTTTTAGAAGAATACCTACAAACAAAAGTGAAATGAAAAGAAAAATTTTAGTTCAAGTTTGGGTGACTCTAGTCAGCTCATTTGGACAAAGGAGAGCTATGTTTATTCTAGAGTTTGGGTATTCAGCAGTTTTAGAAGGTTTGCTATAAAAGTAGGGCAGAGCACTCTCATTTTAGACGTCAGATTTCACAGACTATGGCCTGTGCAATGTCCAAAGAACAGGTCGGATTCGTCAGTGGCATAAAGGAAAAGTAAAAAATAAATCAGATCAGCATATAGATGAAATAAGTAATTTGACCACATATCAATGAAGGATATTGGAATGACTAAGCACAGTTACTGTGAGAGACATCAGGAAATTCATTTAAATTTTCCACATGCTTCAGGTTTCCCAGATGCAATACCCAAATAATGAAATCTTTCTTTCCAAGGCACTATCACATGCTTAGGTGAAGGACACTATAGGAGGATAAAAAAATAAAAAAAGCTGTTATCTTTGCTCACAAAACGAGATCTTATAACCTTACCTAATAGATTGGTTAACCACAAGGCCAGATCTTCTTTCATCGGTAGCAAATTAGCTTCATGTCTGCTGGCCAGCCATTGGCTATACTGATGCATATCAGAGAGGCCAGGTCCACTGCGTACCTTTGGGCTCAGAGCAGTGCACATTATTTATCCACTTGTAATACCTGTTTTGGAAACAAAAGAGTAATTGCTTTTCATTCAGACTTTCTTATTAAAATGTTGGTGCCAATGACAAAGGAAGGAACCAGATCCATGGAAATGTTGATGACAGGTCAGGTTATTAATGATTAAACCCCAGGAAACACTGCTATCTTTACTGGTCCTATCACTGTTAACCAGCCACTTGGTAGAAAATAGCAGCAACCAAAGGTCAGAGACGAATCAAACAGTAAGCACTAAGCTTGTGCAAAACATCACATTTAAAAAGAGTCAGTTTCTAAAACAAGAAACTCTACTTACTCAAAAGCAAGCAAAGCTGTTGACTAAAATTTTAATATCCAAACTGTAAACTCACATTGCATTCGTTTTTGAAACAAAAATTACAGAACTTTAGGACTGTGTGCCAGCAGTGACAATATTTGCACAATTCATTACACACATATGGTCACTGCCCTTAAAATCACTTCCTATAGGATAAAGGACAGTACTTGCTTTTTTGCAGATGGCTGAGCAGTCATGGATTCACAATTCAGAGAACTGGGTGGGAGACAGGGTAGGAAGTGCTTTCAAAGAGTCCCTACTATATTTATCTTGTATTACAGTTAATGAAAACAAAAACCAGAGACAATCAGTGACTTAACCAAGAATGTACAGCTAGATCATAGCACAGTCAGGTTTGAATCCGGGTCTTCATACTTTTTCCTGAATGACACATTTTACAAAATAGATTCCTCAAGAAATCACAGTATAACCCAAGAATAACACCATCGTTCTAACAATTACTGCTGCAAGTTTTTCTTTTGTCTTACTTCGTATCTTTTCACTTTATGGGTTTTTCATCCTAGGTTTTGTTTGCAATCATCTTTCCTGTAGAAATGATTCAATATCTTACATCTACAACCCTGGCTAGGTAGCTCAGTTGGTTGGAGTGTCATCCCATATGCCGGTTCAATTCCTGGTCAGGGCACATACCTAGGTTATGGGTTTGGGGACGCATGCGGGATGCAACCAATATTTCTCTCTCTCTCTCTCTCTCTCTCTCTCTCTCTCTCTCTCTCTCTCTCTCTCTCTCATCATTAAAACAAATTCTCGGGTAAGGATTTAAAAACACATAACCTTACATCTACAAAATAAAAGTTGATATCATTAACCTGGTCACCTTATGGGTATCACGGTCCCCTAGGTGGGTTGTAGAAAAGTTGAAAATATACCTGGTCTTGAACATAGCACTTTCGTGTGCATTACTTATAGGACCTAAGACTATAGAAATAACACTGAAGCAGCTAAAGTAACAAACTCATGAGTTTAACAATGTGTAGGACTCTATTATGTACACCAGTAGTGCATATGAAATAACTAAATGCATTACATTATTACTGAACAAAATGAAAATACAACTGGCAAGAAGTAAGATTCATATGATATAATGGGGTTTACAGCTATATTTCAATAATTATATCTTTTAGTTATCAATATGAGCATATATACACTCTTGTCAGTTCTATTCTTTGAAATTTTACATAAGTCTAATTCTTTTATCACAGGACAACTTTTGTCTTTTAAAGACTGCTTTTTAAGACAAAGAAAGATATTGGTGTTCAGAAAAATGCAAAGTGCAACCATCTCCCACTCTGCTGTAGTATCAGAAAGGGCAGCTAGAGCGTAAACACCTAAAAGGTGTCATAAACATGTAACTTAAAAGCACAGATTACTGCATTTTGAAACAACTATGCTTTGGAGTAATTTTTTTTGCAAAAAAAATTACCACAAATTTCCTTTGAAAAGATTTTTTATAAATCTAAGTATCTCTAATGAACCAGTGCAAACAGTGCTAATATACCTTGTCATATGTTACTAAATTATCATTATAGGAACCAGAACATTACCATCACCTATTCTTTTCTAGTTAATTGTCACATTATTCAGACAAAGCCCTAAAATTTTCTCCAACTCTCATCATCATACATAAGACACCTAAAACATTTTTGCCCCAATTCTTTTAAAAATAGGTCTAGTCACCGGAAAACAAAACATCTCCTTGGAACTGGTTAGGATTCCTATAGGCTAGCCAGCCTCAGAGACAAACATTTAAGTAATATTACATTTAAGCACATGATTCATACATTTAAATAACTAATTGAAATCTTAAAAGGGTTACCTCTAAAATGCCTTTCTTCTCAAGACACAATCTCTCCCACTACTTTCCTGAAAGTGAGATGTGGTAGGTCAGTAACTTTAGCTACATCCTATTATGTGTTCTGCAACTTCCATTTAAGCATCAGAGTCCTATTCTGCTCTGTAAAAGCAAGAAGACACCTCAGATTCTTAAGCGCATTGTCCAGCAAAGAATTCATCAAGGGATAGTTTACAGTAGGCCTAATGGCGTGTAACAGTGTCAGTGAGCCAGAGGGACACAATCCTTCCCCTCAGTACTTCTGAACAGTGACGTTTTTATTTTCTTGACAGTGGCACATTTATTTCTCATGTAGTCGGTCCTGTATTTTGCCAGAAATGTGATTCAAACTATCTTCTAATATTTATAGATGATCATTAGGTAAAAACAGCAAGAGTAATGAAGCAATTTTTGTTATGCTGTTTTGTAGATAATCAAAATTACAAAGGGAAAAAAAAAAACAACCAAAAAACAAGAAAAGAGTTACCTTTTACCAGGAGGTAAAAGTGGGAGAAGTAAGGCTTAGGGGGTAATCAGCATGAAATAGAAGAGAAGTAATTAAATATATATTGACACTTAAAGTCATTGTCATGGATAGGAACTCCTCTCTTAAGTCTCTTTTGAAAAAACTTTGGATTTTAATCCAATATGGTCCCTTTTTCGTATTTTAAATCACCATGTGAGGCTCAGCTGACAGTCAGTCACTCCATTCACTACATGGATGTCTTGGAGTTAGATAATGGCAGAGGCATGAATATGAACCATGGAGATGAACCCAGTTAGCAGGGGTGTGGAAGAATTGCTCCAGGGTGAAGGAACTTCCCACTGAAATGGTTAAACCGGGTGAACAAAAGTTACACAAATATACTACCAAACATAAAAAGACCACTCCAGGATGATAACCTTTTTAAAATTTTTAACAAATGTTTAATCAATGTGGATGAGTTGAATTAAATCACAAACAACAAACTATAACCAAAAGATCATTTTTGATCTTTTGAACTCATTCAAAGGTTTTCAAAAAACCACAAGAGATGAGAAGGGGTAGCTTTTAAAGATGGGAAGTAAAATGAAGAATGATTCACTAGACTTGAAGAAAGAAGTTCAGGTTTGGGAAAACAAAAAACTTTTTTTTATATACTGCATCAAAACACTGAAAGATGTTACCATTAAAATTCATATAATCTAATTATGTACAAAGCTTTATAAGTGACTTTCTCAAGTACTAAACAAAGACATTCACTTTGGAAAGAGGAGTAAGAATTCAAATACTTCTATGGGCCCTCTAAACTATGGCTTCTCCGAGGTTTATGGCTCTATCTAAAAGTGGATAACTCAACCCCCTGGATTTGGAATTCAGAAAAATAAAACTTAAAGCGAAAAACATGCAGAAACTTAATACAGATTTCTTCAAAGAATGTGTGTATTTTTTTCCTTTCTTTCCATAGAAGTGATTCTGGAATAACCATTATGAATATGATGAGATGTGAATTAGCCCAAGGGAAGAAGAAAAAATTAATGACTCCGTAAGTAAAATATCATATGCTTAAAGACTCTGTTTAGTCTGTTGCTCCAGAATCCCAGCTGAAGAACTCATAGTTTTGACTCTGAAGATAAAGTATTCTTTCACACCACCTAGAGGTGTGCTCTGAATGACCAAGATGGTTTCTAGTCTATCTCTAGACTTTGTTGACATGTTATTAAAAAATGCATTGCAATACTGCATAGAAAATACATGGGAAGGAAGAAAAATAAGAACAAAATAATAAACATTATATGATAGCTGGCTGCTATGCGATTCCATTAAAAATTCTAATTAATGAATATTAATTGCAGTTTTAGAAATGGAATCAGAAGTCATGTGGTCAAATACTAGCTCTATTACCCACTTACTTAATAGCTGGTCTATTCCAATTATGTGTCATTTTCTTTCTGTACCTGAGTTCTTTAGTATGTGCAATGAAGGTTAACACTTCAAATGTAATTTTGAAGATTAAATATTTGTGCCAGTGTTGGCATACATTTTGATATTCACTAAATACTAGTTAAATCTAAATTTATCACCAGAGGAAATAGGCTTTCTGTTGACTTCCATTGACTTATTTTAAAAAGAACAGCAATTCTACAACAAAATAGGAATACTTTGTAGACCTCTAAATCACAAAGAGGGGACAAAAGCTAAAGAGACATGAAAACAAAGTACTGATGAAACAAAATCATAAATATAAGAAAACTCAAAGTTTTCTTCACAGGATGATAAATGAAATGTTTTGCTCTAAAATGAATAGTTTCCATGTGTTTTTAAAGTCTTGTTAACAAATTATGCTTGGTTTTTGACACCAGGTAAAGATTATAAGCTATTAATTAAGATAGGGGAGTGCTACACCTCTCAAAATAAATGTGACGGGATGTCACGACACACCTTCTCCACCCCCCCCACCCCCAAAGGCTCCCTAACTGTGACCCTTTAAAACAAAGAGTGCTAATGAACCACAGTGAGTGGGTCCCACCCTAAAGGCCACCTTTGTTCACTTCTGCACATTGACCTCACCTCTGCCTGGCCAGGTTTGTGTGCTCTGGGAGTGAAACAATGGAGAAACAGTTTATAGGCCAGTAACACTATCTTTTAAAAAGTTAAAACAAATAAATAAATACCCTAAGCCAAACACCCTCCCAAAATCTTGAAGGAGAAAATGGTATCTTTCAAGCTAGACTAGACGAATTAATGACGAAGGATGGCTCTTTCACCATTCTGAGTTCTTTACTCCTGTGGGACTCATTTTGGCTAACCAATAATATCTCTACAATGCTACATATTCTCAACCCATGTCACGAATGCAAAATCTTAACCTAAGGGTCTAATCAGAAAATTAAAGCTCAAAATTTAATCATAAAAGCAATTCCAGATCTTGTAAATGGACCTCTACTCCTGGCTGAGAGGACCAACTTGTCCACAAATCAAAGAAGCACCAAACATAAAGTCAAAAACAACACACATGACTAGCTTTCCTAATTATGTAATAAAATCTTTAAATTCAAATGGACAGAAGATTTACTTAGTCAAATTCCTGGCTCTTCATAAATCTTTGGAGGCCTAAAATATCTTGCCCAAAGTAACAAGGCTACATACGTAGCCACGGAGCCATTACAAATACCCTACTCAGCCTCTTGGTGCCCAATATTAGGAAACGCTAACTCTCTTCCAAGAATCTTTCTCATCCTGGAGCCCCATGATGATTTGTTCTGAACCAAATAATGATACACCTGCAATAATAATTCCTTCTTAAATCACAACCAAAAAATTAAGACTGAGTGGAAACTGATTTCTTATATTTTTATAACATTAGCATTTTTCCCTTTTTTCTTTTAACTATATTGTACTAGACCATTCTTCCAAACAATTTAGTACAGGTTTCTGAACCCCTCCAAGATGGATACATAATTTGAATAGTAAACCATCTGAAAATCATAACTCAACTAGAATATTTAAGGACTTCCATCAAAATTTCATCTAGGTTGATGAGGTAAAATGTCATGAGATTTTGGGGGGGGGCGGTTATATGTTTGGAATGCAATGATTTTCTGTTTTATTTAACTATAATGTAGCTGGGAGCTAACAGATTTCTACTTTCTACTGAAATATATAGACATGTATCTATCTCATGTAAGGGGAGAGCATTAGCAAAAACTCAATTGAAGTGACCGTGAAAATGTTTAAGACAAAAATTACACAAGCGTTTTACTCATTTTGACAAGTGATATGTTCTACCTGCACTCCAGTCTTCTCTAGCCAGAAAACACTGAGTAGAAAACCTTGATAGGTGCTCAGGAGAAAATTAAAAAGCAACAACAACAACAAAAAAACACACAGTGGTATCCTATTTGTGCCTCCATATCAAAACCACAAAGATACCAAAATAGCCTTAACATCTGCTGCAATTTTAACAAATGTAACCAAGTTCCTCTGCAAACACATTGTTAGAGCCTCCTTTTCTGGTTTCAACCAAGGTTAAGTCTGGCCTTCCAAAGGCTCCAAATATCTATAATGCAGGCTTGAAGCAAAATTCTGAAATCATGCATCACATATTTAGGATTAACACAAGACCTGACATTTCATCATCCCTGAAAGTTTAAGTTTTAACTAAGATTCCTTAACAAGATACTAGAAAACTCAGGGGCAACCATATGACCTTTTGCACCAGGGGAAATAAATTTTGCCATGTGAATTTATTTCCCAGTAAAGAAGAGACCATATCACACAAGTATGGTGTTTAGCCCCAAAATAAAGAAGCTTAAATTAGTTTAGTAGCATACAGGCTGAAATCCAAGCTACCTTTCAGTTTCAGAGCCCACTCAGAGAGCCATGTGGAAAGCCTACAATGTCCCATGCCTCAGACATCCCTTACCTTCTCTTAGGCAGTCAGAACCAGGACGCCCATGTTGGAGAGGACCACCACAGCCACCACCTCCCCCTACACGGTTAGGGGGGAGCATTCCTCGAGAAGGAGCTCATTGATCGATTTCAAAGACAGGCTGGGCACACTAGATCCCAGCTGCAGTTAATCAGTGTCCACACTGCTAAGAGGTTGGGGGAAAGAAGCAATGAGCACAAGGGCTCGTTCTCAGCCTTGCCTCTGTGAATCTCAGGGGACAGGTGGGGAGGAAAGGTGGACTTCCCCTGCCCGGCTGGCACATCCGACCTGCCTGAGCCTTTATTTTAACACTAGGAGGCCAAATGGGTGTTCCTGTGCACAAGCAGATCGTATTTCCTCTGCATAAGATCTCCCATACACAACTGATCTAGCCTTGTTGGAAAGGGCTCTTGGGGAGAAGGTGGAGTTTACAAGAGGGACAGAAAAGGTTTGCAAATCTTGATTGTGAGAGAATAAAGATGAAGGAGGTGAGAGGAGGAAGATGAAGAAGGTGGGGAGGGTAATTGTTTTAATTTCCAAAAAGTTAACTGGAGGAAAGCACTGAGTAACCCACCCCCACCTCCAACTGTACTAGAACGTTAAAAGCAGTAAAAACCTGCTTTTGCTCTCTCTCCCTTCAAGACAGTAAAACTTGGGATGGATGGACTAGGTTAATGCCAATCTCCTTTACTAGGCTGATAAAGCTTAATTTTGCCAAAATAATTAATGCCTTTAAAACAAAGTTGGCTCCTCTGCTTCCCAAACAATTTCAGATTCCAAAACCCTGCTCTTTGGACTCAAAAGGAACAATACTAGGCAAAAATATTCCCCAAAGGGGGTTTATTCACAGGCTAGCATTTCCTTGTTCACGTAAAAGGAAAAAAAAGCTTAACTCTGTCAAACTCATCAATTGAAAAACTGGGTATCACCCCAAATCACTCGAGTCACCCTTCTTCCTCCCATCCTGGCCTCCTGACTCAAGTAAAACATTCAGGATCAGTCCATTAAGACCACCCCCCACCCTGCTCCCTTCTCCCCAATAACAGCATGCATCACAACGACCTGGTGCACAATGAGTAAGTGTGCATTTATAATCGTTGTGCTAATTAGAAATCCTCACTTCGGTCCCTGGTTGGCTGAGCCGCCCCAGCGGGCTTTTCGCGCCGCGGTCACTTGGACTGTTCCACAATAGGGATGAGGAACACATGGTCCTGTCCAGTGAATCAGAGAGGAACCCACTGCAGTGACCACCCCTCAGCGCCAGAGCCCGTCCAGCAGTCCGTGGCTCTTCACCCTGCCCAGCCCAGTCCCCCGGGTTATTTTTTAAGACCTCCCCCAGCCCCGTGGCCCCCCGTGCCCACGCAGGCAGGGGCTCCCGCGACCCCGCGCTGCAGAGCGCGCACGCTGCGGCGGAGTTGGCGGAGAGCTGCGACCGCGCGTCCGCCTAGCTCACCCCCGCGTCCGGAGCTGGCTGCTGGCGGCTCTCAGAGGCGCCGGGGCTCCCGGCTCGGCTCCTGCAGCGTCTCGGGCCAGGCCCCCTCCCGGAGCAGGTCCTGCAGCAGCAGCTCTCCGCACCCCACCAGCCCGGCGGCAGAGGCAGCAGCTACAGCCGCACTGCCCCTCTTCATACTTCTCTGATGGCTCCTCTTGGTGCTGTTTGGGAAAACGATTTTTCCCGCTGCCAGAAACAGATTTCCTACATTTCATCAGTCCACATAGACCGAGCGGAAGTAAAATGCTTACTTTTTTTCTGGTGGACGGCAAACGCAATTGACACTGATTTACCCTTCAAACGGGGAGAGATTGTATTACAAGCCCTTGGCAGCGATTCCGAGGTTAGGGCCCAGCTCCAGCCCCCTCCTTGACCCCCAAACACTAACCTAAGAGGGAGAGGGCCGGGGGTGGGGAGGGGATCATATTTAACTCCAGGGTTTTAACACAGTCAATGGCTTTAGCACAATATTAAAATGGGGTGTTGGAAAAGCTTTGCTTTCCTGGCCAGTGATTTTGCAGACTCAGAAGCATGAGCTTTCCAGTAACTTCAGCCCCTTTTCGTTCCAAATTGAACAATTTGATTTCTTACACTTCTCTTTAAATATCAGATTTTAGAAGAGGCTACACTTTGGGCTGTTTTCGCTTTGCAAAAGGAAATACAATCCCACCCTTCCTTCTCTCAGCCTCAGCACAGCATTATGTTGAATGTCACAGACAATTTTCTCCAACTGTTGTTTATTAGTCCGTGTAGTCTGAGACGAAAAGTCTTGCCAGGGCCTGGACAGATGTTCGAGTCTGCTTCACCGCTGATGTATAGGTGACCTCCTGCAGTGAGTGTTCTAGCCACCTCAGAACACCGCTTTCCCTGGCTGGAGACCAAAAGTACTACACTTGGTTGTTGTTTTGTGTTCACGGTCATCAGTGTCGCGTGTATCTCCATCCCATATCTGCGATGGCTGTGACGCAGGTGTTCTGATCCTCTCACGGGTACCGTTTTTTAAGTAGTGATTAACTGCTCCCACCCCATCCTCCCTGCTCTCCCCCAAATAGAAACTACCCATAGATCTACAACTGCAAAGTGATGTGGATAATTTTAGATGGAATTAAAGGATGTGTGTTGCATTTATTACCGCCTTCATCTGGAAGTGGTTATTTGATCCCAAACATCGAGACACTGCGTGGGTTACTTGCTTGTAGCAGTACAACAATGAAGAAGGGGACAAAACAGAGTGCAAAGTTTGGCCAATTGACCCCCAAGCCTTTTATTTTGGTTCCATTTGGTGGGGTAGCTGTCAGCTCCATGCTCTTGCTTGGCTTCCCAAAAGAGGCAAAAGGGAGCCTCATCATTTTAAGGAGAGCAGCATTATCAAAAGACCTGTAGTACTGTTTGGGTACACATAAACATCAGCCAATCATACAGATTACTGATGAATTTGAGGAAATGATTCTGAATAAAAAAATGTATCAAACGGTAACCATATATATGAGTATTCCTAGAGCCCTGACAAAGTATTATGAGTTTCTGAACTTGTATAATTTGAGTAAAAAGTCAAACATTCATGATAATTTTTCATGATCCAACCTCATCAGCCAATGAAATATCCTCAGGGTTCAGAAGAAGAGTGCAAAACACCTAACACCTTTGATTTTCAAAATCCTGTATCCTATTTCTTTCCAGATGTAAATATTCTTGTCACATTCTTTCATATTGATGTTATAAAAAGTAAAGTGTAAATCCATGTTTTTGTTGGTTCAGGAACAATGCAAAATCCATTTGGGGAAAATAAGGAGGCTTACAGAGGCACTGGGAAAGCATGATCATTCAAGTTACTCACCCAATGCCCCTTCCTTCCAGGAGTTTGTAGTTATGAATTATGCATCAGATCCTCTGTCCTTTTAGCAAAGGTAGAAAGGAAAATGCTAGGAGAAATATGCACTTTCTCCCTAAGCACCAGAGAGTTGGGCTGACTATCTTTTGATAACAAAGCAAAAGTAATACAAAAGATTTCTGAAAAGGCATCAAAATATTGTTTTAATTGATTTTTTTCAGAATTTGTAACAATACCCACTTGATTTTTATTTTGTATTGTTCAAAATCAAATTTCTATTTATCTATTCCAATCAGTCACCAATACATTTGTCTGATATCTTTTTGTCCAAGAATGTTCTTGCTTTGGTCTCTCTCACCCTAAACATGTTCATCTTAGGAAACCATGGTCCAGCTTACCTTCCCAGAACCAAAGTGAAGGTAATGGAAGCAAATGCCTCTCCTATTGGGGTGAAAAAGGCCTACACACGTTCTTGAAACTCGACAACATAAAAAAGAAAAGCCAAACCAGATTTAAAGAAAACATGGTTTAGTTTTTCTTTTTATCGCTTAAATATTAAAGTCTAGAGGACCTTAATATTGAAAATTTTTAGGTTACTCTGTGTTTTGGGCATTTTACATCTTCAACATTCTCTTGAATATAAACTGTGCCTTTTCTTTAAAAAATATACATATCTTCTTATATTCTTATATTCCTAAGTAGCTTCAAAAGGGCTATTAAATATGGCATGTGGTTGCCTTAGAAGTAAGAGATAATAACAATACAGAAAGCAGTTAAAAACCTGCCCTGGTGCTGGATAAATATATGAAGCAATGTAATAAGTGAAAACACTTATTTACTTTTTATAGAAATACTTTACTAGTGATGTAAAATATGCTTATCTTTTTCTACCTACCACACTGGATCCTAATCTAGGCCTTGAATTGATATATATTGAACTATTTCAAAATACCAAACAGAAAGGATTTTATAGGTCCTAGTATGGTAATTACACATACTGTTAGGGTTAAAAAGTAAATGGTAATATTTTTCATCACCATTCATATACAACACTACAAAGAATAAATTAAATGAGAGAGATTTCATGTGAAAGTTCAAGGTTTACTCTCATTTTGATATGCAACTTAAAAACTCTATATTTTCCCTGGCTGGTGTAGCTCAGTGGATTAAGTGCCGGCTGTGAACCAAAGCATCGCAGGTTCAATTCCCAGTCAGGGCACATGCTTGCAGGCCATGGCCCCCAGCAACCGCACATTGATATTTCTCTCTCTGTTTCTTTCTCCCTCACTTCCCTCTCTAAAAATAAATAAATAAAATCTTTAAAAAAACTCTATATTATTCTAGCCCTGGCTGGTGTAGCTCAGTGGATTGAGCACGGACTGGGAACCAAAGTGTCCCAGGTTCGATTCCCAGCCAGGGTACATGCCTGGGTTGCAGGCCATAACCCCCAGCAACCTCACATTGATGTTTCTCTCTCTCTCTATCTTCCTCTCTTCCCTCTCTAAAAATAAATAAATAAAATCTTTAAAAAAAAACTCTATATTATTCTCAAAGGAAAACTTTAAACTTTATAAGTACAATATAACACTAGTATAGATATCCATTCCCTACTGTGCGAGACTCATATTTTTTGCAAAATGTGTGTTATATATGATCATATGTCTTCTAATTTTTTCACAGAGGAGAGATTACAAGCATTTCATGAAATACACTGTTTATCTCATCTAGTTTTAAATATCCTATGTAATGCATCCTATTGTATGAATTTTGGTTTTCCTTAAATATTTTTGTGGTTTGTTCCTAAATATTTTACAAATATCTGTGCCATTCTAATTGGAAGGTCAAATTTCATATGAATGTTTATATAAAATGTTATTTCAATAACTTTCTTTTGAACCACTGCTATCTCTAGCATCTACAATGCCATTGGGCTTCCAGTAGGCATTCACTCAATAAATAATTGTTGAATGAATGAATATTAGAAAAAAATTCAGTCTCTTGGGAAGCTTCCTACTAATTGGTTATATTTCTTATATATTGTCTTTAATTTGGTAGTTTGGAACTCAGAATAGAAAAATAATGTTAAAATAACATTTTAAATGATGGCTTAATTCCCAGGCTAGAATCATTTCATCTGGTAAAATGTGACTGGAGTTCAGTAAAACAGATGCTTGCCTGTGTACCAGGCTTATAAATGAGGTCAGTCTGTCACTTGTCACTTCATTAAAAACCAAGGTTGATTTGGACTCAGGGTTTAATCATAACCAATATAATAGGAGTGCAATGAAATGCTACAGAAAATATTACTACTTCAGTGGTTCTCAAACTTGCTCATTGTGACCCGCAAGGTGGAATACCTTAAGGGAGAGACACACAGAAACACATTCAGGTACATGACCAAAACATGTTTCAGAAAAATAGTTATTGACCTTCCTAAGTGAATACACTCTGATATTTTTCTGTTTGGCTTTCTTCTAGTCTTCTCTATGCCATTCAATTGAAATGAAATGCTGTTGGAGAACTGCTAAATTTATTTCAAACACACAGTTTCAAAAAAATCTGACTTTGAAACTAAACTGAGGAGAAAATGAATTAAAAAATGAGGTAGCATATCAATGAGCAGATGGTTTCATTATAAAGTACAAAACAGACGTGCATATGTATTGTCCGCAATAGACTTGACATAATGTAATATCACAACATCCCAAACTTCGTATACCCTCACACCTCCATGTCTTTGCTCGTGCTGACTGGAGTGATCTCTTACCTTTTACTTTCTCCTTCTGAATAAATCAGATTCATTCTTCTAGGACTAGATTAATAGTTATCTTCTCTGTGGTTCTCTTGATCTCCCTGACAGAAATATTGTTCTGTCTGTTTTGCTTTGAGGATTTTTTTCATTTATTTTGTATCTCATTTATAATGTGGTATCACAGTTATTTTCTTACACATACATCTGCCTACTAAAACTGTGAGTCCCTAAGGAGGAAGGACTAAGTTATTCATCTTTGCATATCAAGTCCTCAGTGTAGTACCAAACCTCAGCTCATTGAATGATTGAATGAATACATGGACCATAAAACCACTGAATATCTGAAATAGAAAAAGCAGGTGTCATTGGATGATGGGACAGATGCCAGAAGAAAGGACTATGCCCATCAAAGGGAAACTGAATGGTAACCCCTCTAGAAGGACAGCCAGTTGTTGATTTTGCACCCTTGTTGATAGAACAATTTATACTTAAATGAGATTTTACTGTCACATTTCTTGGGATTCTCTTGCAGGTAGACCTTGTTT